TCAAAAGTGCCCAAGAAGTCTCAAGGAATCAGTTATAATCTTGAAGGACAAACGGTGAAGGGAGAGAGGATTCAAAGATTGGGGATTCCTATGTGAAAAAGAAAAAGAATCTGATAGAGTGAAGGGATATGATTCCTAACCCCCTCACATCCATTCCTTTGTGAGAATAGCTGTTATGCTAAAAGTTTATGTATATTTTCTTCTTTTTGACCAGTCTGTGTACTGGAAGAATTCTTACTGTCCTCGTTTATGAACAAGAAACCAAAGGCACAGGGAGGTTCAATATGTCGACCCAAATCTCACAGGTTTTGACTGAGAAAAATGGGACACTAATTCTGAATGTGATGCCACGGAATTCACAGTTATCCCAGAACTTCTTGTGTCTACCCTCTGTGCTGATCCTGAAGAGTTTACCTTTCAATAAAGCTAGGAGGTGAAGACAGGATAAGACAGGAGGTACAACACAATAAGGGAGGTAGAGGACAAAAGTAGAGATGATACGTGGGAAGAACCAGTCTGCGCCCGATGGATCTATAACTGAAGATAATCATCCTTAGCTTTTCTTTCATTTTTAATTCTCTTCTCATACAATACACCCCAACCACAGCCTCCCCTCCCTCTACTCCTTCCAGTTTCCCTGCTCACCTCCCCTCTCCCCCAGTTTCACTGCTCCTCTATTTCCCTTCAGAAAAGAGCAGGTCTCCCAGGGCTGTCAACCGAACAGGGCATAACGAGATACAAGTAAGACTAGGCACAAACCGTCATTTCAAATCTGGACTAGACAACCGAGTAGGAGGAAGCACCCCAAGAGCAGACCAAAGAGTCAGAGACACCCTCACTCCCACTTTTAGGAGTCCCAAGCGAAACAACTCTAATGTGTATGCAGAGGACCTAGTGCAGACCCTTGCAGGCTCCATGATAGCCGCTTTAGTCTCCGGGAGCCCCTATGAACTCAGCTTTTCATTTGCTCTATGCTTTGTGGATAGAATGACCTTAGAGCTTGTACCAAATGCTTCACAGGCATAATCAGAAGTGACTTTTTTTTTTTTTTTGGTTTTTCGAGACAGGGTTTCTCTGTGTAGCTTTGCGCCTTTCCTGGTACTCGCTTTGGAGACCAGGCTGGCCTCGAACTCACAGAGATCCGCCTGGCTCTGCCTCCCGAGTGCTGGGATTAAAGGCGTGCGCCACCACCGCCCGGCGCCAGAAGTGACTTTTAAAGACTAGTTTTTCAAAGTTCTAAACTTAGCAGAAGAGGAAATACAAAGCAAGGTGAGATTTCATCATAGTAAAATAACAACCAAGTCTCATGTGTTGACCTCCGCATTTTTGTGGAGGTCCTCCTATGTTTCAAGTCTCAGCTGGTCCAGTTCACAGAATAATCTGTGGGAATGACGCTTCCTGAGCTTTGAGCATGCATCACCACATGCCCAGGTTTTTATACACCTAGGTTGTCCTGAGTGTATAAAAAAGCAGTCTGAGCAATTCATGAGGAGAAACGCAGTAGGCAGTGTTCCCCCACGCGCTGCTTTAGTTCCTGTCTTCAGATTGCTGCCTTGAGTTCACACACTGACTTTCTCCAGTGTGACCTGAGCATTGTAAGATGAAATTAACAGAGCCTCTGACCCCCAAGTTGCTTTTGGTTATGGTGTTTTATTACAGTAATGGAAACTCCAACTAGGATATTACCTTCGGTGTCTACACTTTCAGATGTTGCGTCCAAGATTTCTGACCCCCAAGCAAATGAAGTTGAGTAGCTAGGAAGGCAGCTGCCTTTTTTGACATTACACATATTCCACTCTGAGAAGAATTAAAACCCAGGTCCTGAGGATTAATTACAGGATAATGAAATAAATAAAAACCACTGTGCTACTGGCTTTGTGATGAAAACAATCTGTCTAGATTTCAGAAGTCGGAGCTTTTCTGGGAGCCTATGGGCAATTTTTATCCCATCAGAGTAATAAGAGTAGTCACAAATTAAATAAGTAGTTTAAACTTGTGAATTCTCATTCCAATTTTGTAGAATTTTAAAATAATACTAGAACAAGTAGGAAATCCCAAAGCTCATCTCACATTTATATCTAGAGCTTTATGAGAATTCCTGAAGTACATACAGACTTCTTTAGTCATTTGGTATATTTTAGAAGCAAATTAAATTCATTCCATGTGAAACCATAGTTTAAAATATTTAAGGGAATACATGTACAACTACACAGTAAACCTCAGCTGTGAATGATTTATGCTGATAAATGGAGTACAAAGACATAAATTTAACTACAAGCTCTAGGAAGAGGTATCTCTGTCAGTAATTCTACCCCCCTCCCCCCACTTTTTTTTTTACAATGGAATATTAACGCACTAAATTCTCAATGGTTAATTATTCTGGCTTGCAAATTCACAGTCTAGGTCATGACTTAAACCCAGAGTGACAATGTAGCTATGTCTGAAGTCAGAATCATCCTTGGACTTTTCAGTTACTTATTTTCGTTTTCTTTCTTTTTTTCCTCAAATGCAATTATTCTGACTTCGTTATCTAAGACTTGGAACAGAAAGTGTTTTGACTAATGGAGTCAAGTTTGAGGGTGTTTTGAGGATGGCTTGAAAAGAAACACATTGGGAAATGTGTTGGGTGGTTTTGAGAGTTTAGGGAAAACAGACTCATTCAAGCTTTATACTATCTATTCAAATAAACTTCTTTATTGCTAGTGAGGCGTACTAGGAATAGCCTTTTGGAGGGTTATAGAGGAACCCCCCCCCCAGAGAATCCAGAAAATCCTAAATGTCTAAAAATATTCCACTATAATCTTACCACCCCCAAATAAGCAGAATCATTTTATCTTTTATTAGATCATTATTATATGTCTGCTGCTTATTTGTGTAAACTATGTATGACAACAATGTCCACCAATATATGTATTGTCCCTATAAGTATGGTTCATGTACTATAAAGAAGAAGAGTTATTTGAACTACTTATCCAATAGAAATATGTCTGTTTACCAAAGTCTTTCTTTGGTGCCAGCCTGTGCTATCCTTATAAATAAAGCTCAATTCTGTTCCATTCCATATAACCAGATGGGATGATCCACATTCTTTCCAAATCCTTCCTAGAGCCTGGTTTCAATGTTTATCAGTATCTCTTGGAGTACAACTGATAATATTTGAAAGCTTTAGGAGATCTTGGTCCCCACACTCTAACCTACTGTGAAAATTCTTCCCTTGGAATGTGAAACCAAGCCCTGGGAGACAGAAAAGAAAAGTTGAATTCTTGACTCAGGTACCAGTGTCACTTGCCCAATGTCTTGCCAACCATAATGAGGCCAGCCAGATCAAAACCCCAGTTTATAATGAATTCCAGATAAGCAGTGGATAGATTTCCAATAACACTATGTCTCATAGAACATTTGGTTTATCCTTTTGATGAAAAATTCATTGTTTAAGTGATGTTAAAATTTGGCTGGTGCCTTGCCTTTTCATTGGCTTAATCTAGTAACCCAACATATAACCCCAAAAATTACATCAGGTTGACACAAAAAAAAGCCACAGTGTCTTCTATTTACTATGCAATTGTCTGGAGCAAGTCCAATTACTTTGTCTTTCCTGCGGTCTCAAATGTAGTTTAAAAAACCATAATCAAACTGAAAGCAATAAGCTGACGTAAAGTCACTGAGACAGGTCTAGAAAGGAAGAAATGAGTATGAAGAACTTTAGGCATAGAACTGAGAAAATAGTGACTGAAGGGTGAATCAAACATTACAATTCTTGCCAAAGAATTGTATGGATATGCTAGCAGGAAAGAGAATAAGGATTCAGGAAAGTGATATGGCAGAGGGCATTAATTCTAGGGTGATTAGAGGAGCTCTCCCTCAATACAATTTCCACTTCCAAGTATTGCCTTATAAAAGTTATTAGGGATTTGATTGGCACATCAGAAAAGAGTCATTCTCTTGTTTTTTGAGAGTTGGCAGAACACAGGCCACACATGTTGTTTGATATGCTCTCCTCTGCTAATTCCAAACTCATATAATCTTCTACCCTTTTACTGCATCAGTGGAAATAAGCAGGGGTTGGAGGTAGGAAGTATCTGAGTTCTGAGAACCAGGGAACTTCATTAAAAAACATTAAAGACCTTCTCTTTGAGGCTCTTACCCAGCATTTAGAGAAGGTGGCTGTATTGGATTAGATGCCAGGCAGTCTAGGCGGATAGAATGCAAGTGTGACTCAGTAGACTTATGTAATTAGAGGAGCAGCCATGGTCACTTACGGAAGAACAGTCCTTACAATTATCCTTTTCATCCTTTCCCCACCAATAAAATCTCACAATGATGACAGAGTATGATTTCATGCTTTGATTTGACTAACCAATAGGGGAAAAGAATAATTTAATATATGTGAAAGTCTTTTCTTAGGACATTTCGATAAATTAAGCAGACTAAATATTGTTCACTAACCTAGAAATCTCCACTTAAACACTTCATTGAAAACATTTATAGATAAAATAGAGATATTTATGCGAAGATGTTCATGGCAGCATCATTGAGGACAAATATCAAAGATAGTCTAATGCTAATTTACTTTGGATATAGTGTGTATTTCCATATAATGGAATATTATTTTGGCATGACATTGCATTGTAGATAGTTAATGACATGATAATGTTCACAATGAATTATTCAACAAAAAATAATTATAATATATTATGCCCAAAGCAGTTTTGCAATTTTCTCAAAAGAGTAGATATATAAATATTCATCAAAGAATCAGAAGGATATGAAATAAAATGTAAATAGTGATTACCAATGCAGAACTATAACATGTGATTGTACTATGTCCCTATACTTGGCTTTCTAACTTACTATAGATATCACACATTACATTTGAATTTAAAAGATAATATTGAATAAACAAGTATTTAACTGAATATATAGAATAATACCACCTCTGCTGGTATTATTAAATCTCAATTTTGTTCTTGGAAGAAAATCTCTAAAAATAGTTAGCTTATTCCCTGGAAAAGCTGAACATGAACTGCAGGAAATAATATCTTAAATATAGAATCTGCCTAAAATTATTGGGTGTAAAGGGTTTCATTTGAATTCATTTAATCTTGTGTTAAGATGATGTCCAGCTTTTAAGAACATATTTCAAAAGTGTCTCTTAGGTGCTGAACAGATTTTCAAGCACAAAAATTATTTCTTAAGTAACATTTGATGATTATTGTATTTAAAAATTCTCAAAACAGATTTAAATCATAGAGGTGAACATGCCTTGTAAAATTACTTACAGTTGTATTCTGACTACTTTACAACCTTAATACAAAACTCTAATCAAAATCACTGTAAGGCCGGGAGTGGGGGGAGGAGGGAAGAGAGGGGGATCTGTGGTTGGTATGTAAAATGAATAAAAAATTTATTAATTAGAAAAAAAGAAAATCATTCTAATTCATAGCTGGATGCAAACTGTCTACAGCAAAATTGCAGCATGTTTTATGATTGACACAGACCATGTAGACTTCCCAGAAGCCTATTCAGTCCCAGATCAAATGAAAATTATTTTCAGCCAAACTATAACAACTTCTTTAAAAATAGAAATGTCCTTGAGGTTGTGTGAAACCACAGGTCTTACAGCCACCCAAAAAGCATTCTGTGAGGATTATGAGGTGTCTATTTTGGGTAAAGAGTTTTGAGCCCAAGTCTCAGCAACAATGCTGAAGTTGTTTCTTTGGGCATTTGTGGGGTGGTGTTAGGAAGATGGGACTTTGTGTGTGGCCTGAGTTCCCACAGTTTTGACATGTGACTGAAAAGATGTGAGAAGGCAAGTGGATTAATGCACCCAAATCTCATTTGGATTAACCTTTCCTGAACGAGGAAATCTTCCAGTGATGACACAAATGGAACTTCTTGAATTTATTGTGTGAGCTTTAGTAGGCATTGGTGTGATAGCCTCCCACTGCAGTCTGCAAGGACATGCCCATTCCTCATTTTTCAACACCTGTTTGCAGGGAAGTTATTCTTAAGTTAGTGTACTGCTCCCAACTCTTCATCTCTTGTTCTATGCTGTACTTGACCCTGTTGATCTGGGGTGTGTGAGACAGTTTTCCTCATGCCCAGGCTTGTGTGCCAGAAGCTTCTGGAGAAGATGACTTGACACATGGCTTCAATCATCTTTCTTTGGCAGCATGTGAAGCCAACTCGTTGGCAGATTCCAGGTCCATAGCTGAAATAGAGTCTGCTATTCTTGCACTGAGCTTAGGTTCTGCTGCTGCAGCACAAATGAACCCTTCCTACATGTGCGATGAAATGCAGTCTTGTTAAAAGAGGAAAAGAGGTGAGTCAAGAGTGGCAGAGATGGTGTGCACATAATCATGAGATATAAAATAGTGATAAGCAATAATAACATATCCAGAAGCCTAGCAGATAAGATAAGGGCAGCTTTAGCATGAGAATAAATACTTTCCCATTATATTTACTCATGTAGGTCAGCATCTCTCCAAAACCCATTTGTGTTACTATAATCAACCCTCTCAGGTTTTTATACTCTCTCCTAAGATGGAGATCACACTACACTATTCCCTTAGAAATACAGATTTCATGGCCTCTCAAACATGTTCTTATAAGACTTCAGTTTTCTTATTGGTGAAGTGAGATCTGAAACAGATGATCAGCAGCATCTGTGCCAAGTCTTTAGCTTCGAATTATCTTTCACAGTGAGGCCAATTTCTCTGGGAAGTGGTCCCTGTCCACTGTATCAGTAACTGGGAGAAGAGGGAATATCTGGACTTTAGGTCATTTCCCATATTCTAATCTTCTCCTCATGGTTCTAGGCTTGAACCTCGTGGTCCAAGGACATATGACATGTATAAGTGTAGATTGGTAAGGGAGTGTAATGTGATTTTTATACCCAAGGAAGCAGTAGAAGAGACAAAATAACATATGGTTGCTTATTTTTTTTCACTTAATAATAGTAGTTTAGGGCAAGACATTTTACCTCTTTAGATACAAAAATTTTTATTCAAAAATATAGTATATCTCATACTGTACAGGACTTTGTTAGCACTGAAAGAGAATATTTGGATTATAGAAAAATTTAAAATATTAATTTCCATATGTGTGCATGATGGCGTGACATATTAAGTTTATTAAAATAAAAATATAGTGGGGCAAGCTTTTGAAAATTAAATCAAAGTTTTATCTCTTTTAATGAAGTAGAATTTTTAAAGATGAAGAAAGGTAGTTTGGTATGTTTGTTTCTTATTTAATGAATAAAATACTTATTGTGTACTGGGCAATTTTGCTTTGAACACATCAATGAATATACAGGCAATGATCTATCTCCAAGCTCATGGTGCTGACATTCTACTAATTTGATTGACTCTTATGGAACATGAATTATTTAAAAGCTTGATAAGCTGCTAAAGAGCCAATAGATGGTTGTGTTTGATCATGTGAATGACAGTGGAGCTGTGCCTTTTTCATGCATCAGTGAGTCATGATGTCATAGGAAGTTCATGGCTGGATTGGAAGAAAGGGTTACAAAGAGTTTCTTAAGAACGGAATGCCACAGTGAAACAGAAACGAAGAAGCAAATAAACACTACAGTGAAAAATAACTATCTTTTGGAAATTATGCCAGGTAATGGTTCTACCTTATCTAAATAAAGCATTAAATTTGTCAAGCCTTTTGGGTAGAATTTAACAATAAGTGCACTCTAAGGTAATTTATTTGAGTGGTTATGATGATTATTTCATGTAAACAGAGGTCAGTAGTACATAAACATAAACTTTGGTTTCATGATGTATTTTTAAATACACTATCAAAATAATTTTAGCCAATAGGAAGATAGTGACTCATTTTGCTGAATTTGGGGGGTCAATGTTTTTCCTCCTGGAATTCTCATACACATTCTCATTTTTCAGTCCCTTTGCCAAGAGCCAACCAGTTGTACCTATTTGAAAGTAAAACATGGAGTAACTTCCTTTTAAGCTCTTTTGAAAAGTTGAAATTCCCTTAGCAAGCACTAGTTTCATACTGAAAATGAAATCTGTTGATATCTAGTTATGCCAGCACCATTTGTTTAAGATGCTTTCTTTTTCCCATTGTACAGTTTTGGCTTTTTTTTTTTTTGTTGTTGTTGTTGTAAAAAAATCAGGTATTCACAGGTGTGTGGGTTAATGTCAGGGTCTTCAATTCAATTCCATTGGTCCACATGTCGGTTTTTATGCCAATACCAAGCTGTTTTTATTACTATATCTCTATAGTAGAGCTTGATGTCAGGGATGATGATGCCTCCAGAGGTGCCTTTGTTATACAGGATTCTTTTAGCTATCCTGGGTTTTCTGTTTTTCCAAATGAAGTTGAGTATTGTTCTCTCCATGTCTGTGAAGAATTGTGTTGGGATTTTGATGGGGATTGTATTGAATCTGTAGATTGCTTTTGGTAAGATTGCCATTTTTACTGTGTTAATTCTACCTATCCATGAGCATGGGAGATCTTTCCATTTTCTGGTATCTTCAATTTCTTTCTTCAGGGACTTAAAGTTCTTGTCATACAGGTCTTTCACTTGCTTAATTAGAGGTACCCCAAGGTATTTTATATTATTTGTGGTTATTGTAAAGGGTGATGTTTCTCTGATTTGCTTCTCAGCCCATTTATCGTTTGTATACAGGAAGGCTACAGATTTTTTTTTTGAGTTAATCTTGTATCTTGCCACATTACTGAAGGTGTTTATCAGCCATAGGAGTTCCCTGGTAGAATTTTTGGGGTCACTTATGTACACTATCATGTCATCTGCAAATAGTGAAAGTTTGACTTCTTCCATTCCAATTTGTATCCCCTTGATCTTTTGTTATCTTGTTGCTCTAGCTAGAACTTCAACTCTATTGAATAAATATGGGGAGAGTGAACAGCCTTGTCTTGTTCCTGATTTTAGTGTAATCGCTGGATCACCCTGGGAAGGGGAAATAGATGAGATCTCCATGAGTGAACTAAGGGTGAAGGGTGGGATGGAGGGTAGGGGATGGGGGATAAGAACATAAGGGAATGGGATGGAGTGGAAAAGCAATGAGAGAGATACTATGATGGAGGGAGATATCATGGGGACAGAGAGAAACCCAGTGCTAGGGAAGTTGCCGGGAATCCCCAAGGATGACCTCAGCTTGGACTACTAGAAATAGTGGAGAGGGTGCCTGAACTGAACTGGCTTGCCCCAGTGATCATATCTGTGAATAACCTAACTGTCATCACAGAACTTTTCTCCAGTGACTGATGGAGGCAGATGCAGAGATCCACAGCTAAACACAAGGCAGAGCTCCAGAATTCTATGAGCAAGTGCATCAGGATCATGATGAGGAAACCTGCAGAGACGACCAAACCAAACTAGTGGGAACTCATGAAAGTTGGATTAATGGCTGTGGAGACATCATGTGACTGGACTAGGCCCTCTGCATGGTGAGACAATTGTGTAACTTGATACACTTCGTGGGCCCCCTGGTGGTAGAATCAGAATCCATCCCTGGTGCATGAGGGGGCTTTTTGGAGCTCACTACATATGATGGGACACCTCATGCAGACTTGAGGCAGGGGGAAGGGCTTGGACTTGCCTCTACTTGATGTGCTTCCCCATGGGAGGCCTTGTCCGCTTGTGGGGGAAGTGTGTGGGGTGGGTTCAGGGGGAGGCTTGGGGGGCAGGAGGAGGGAAGAGGGGGATCTTTGATTGGTGTGTAAAATGAATGAAAAAATTTTTCTTAAAAAAAAAAAGAAAATGAAATCTGCTGTTCTTCACTTTGCTGATGCTTCAGCAGAGCTGTTCTTATGCATTCCAGCCCTATTTTCCCTAGAGTAGGTAAAAACTAGACTTTACTATCGTTCTTGGTACTAATTGCCTTAGACATTAATTTGATGGGGATTTGTTCATAGACTGATGATACAGAGTTAGCTTTGGCACCTCCTATCTACTGCTTTTATGAAGTCTTGTGAAAATATTTGTAAAATCCCAGGAGTGCCTTTCAGCCTCAAGAAGATTTCATCATACAATAACAAAGAGGGTGTCAAAACCAGGCTATGGCTGGCTACCATCAGCCCCACCCTAGAGTAGTTTAGAGGACAATCTGGTTCTGCTCCCAAAGGTGTCCCCCCACCCCAGGGTCAATTTGGCTGCCTAGGCTGGTATTAAATGCTTGGGTTCTAGGGATATTTCTGACTCAGTCTTCCAAGAAATAGGACTACAAACATGTGCTGCCACCATCTCCCCTTGACCACCAATGTGAATGTGAGCCAGGTGTTGCATCACAAGCCTGTTATCCAATCTTGGGAAAGGGAGGCAAGTCGGTGTGGACTTCAGCTTGTTCCTGTATAGCCAAAAATGGCAGAATGGCCACCTGTATTCCTTCTTGTCCCACAAAACTATCATATAATTTACACAGACTTCTTGATTAGAATTTCACAATGTTGAGTTTTCCTCTTGGGGAAGTTGTGAGAGGTCAGTTAGTAACATGACAATTTTATTTAACCTTGGTCATAATATTGGGTCATATAGATAATCTCCTACTGCAAGAGTTCCATTATGTAGGTTAATACACAGATCCCCTGAGCCTGGGAAAACTAAGAGGAACTTGTTTTCATGTTAAAGATTTCTGTGATTCTTTTTGTTTATTTTTGAAAAGGTTTGTAAAGAAATGCCCTTTTTTTTCCTCTAAAATTCCAAGCTTTAAAAGTAGTTTATACAAATGGTTAATACTAATGGGCAACTGTAGCTACAAGTTTTCTTGTGCCCCAACTGGCTGGCGGTAGGCACAAATCTCTCCCATTCGCATCCCCCAAGTAAATACACAGAGGCTTATATTAATTATAACTTCTTTGGCCATTAGCTCAGGCTTAATACTGACTAGCTCTTACACTTAAATTAACCTATGATTCTTATGTATGTTTAGCCACGTGACTTGGTACCTTTTTTTTCAGTTCTGCCTTGTCATCTTGCTTCCTCTGTGTCTGGCTGGCAATTCCTGACTCACCCTTCCTCTTCCCAGAATTCTCCTTGTCTGCTTATCCCACATATACTTCCTGTCTGGCTACTGGCCAATCAGCATTTTATTTATCAACCAATCAGAGCAACACATATATTCACAGCATATAGAAAGATGTCCCACAACAGGCAACTGTATAATTTAATTATTTTTATTATGTTTGTTCCTTTGTGTATGGAGGATATGGATATGTGCATGAATACCACCCAGAACATGTGGAGGTCAGAGAACAATTTGCAGGAGTCAGTTCTCTCCTTCCAGTGTGTGGGTTCCTGGGTATCGAATTCAGGTCCTTAGATTTGACAGCAAGTGCATTTATCCACTAAAACATCTCACTAGTCACAAATTATGTGATTTTTTTTAACAATAAGATTGTTGCTCTTATTTTATGATAAATTGATCTTTTATTAATAGAAGTATAATGGTTCTAGTTTTTTGAATGCTTCTTAAGAGTCTATTCTAAAACGTAAGTGCAAAAGGATGACTGCTTCTAACCCAAACACGTTTTACATTTTTTAAAATAACTATTTACAATGTTGCCCTTTCCTGCCCTCACAGTGCAAGATTGTTATCAGCAACATGGTATCAAAGACATTCTTTTCACTGTTCTGGATGGTAGTAAAACAATTTAGGCCTGGTGCTGGTGGCCCATGCCTTTAATCCCAGGCAGAGCCAGGTGGATCACTGTGAGTTCCAGGTCAGCCTGGTCTACAGATTGAGATCCAAGACAGGCACCAAAACTACATGGAGAAACCCTGTCTCAAAAACCAAAAAAAAAAAAAATAATAAAAATTAAAAAAATAAAAACAAACAAACAAAACCCCAACAAAACAAAAAACAATTTAAAAGCTTTTATTATGAAAGAATATACACCTTTTTTTCCCCAATAGTGTTTGTTGAATTAGATATTTTTATTTAAAATGTGTTTTCAAGGCCAGATTTTCTGATGGAGCAATAGATTCAGAAATCATAGAATGTATTCATATCAAGTTCCCAATGTTTTCTGTCTTTGTTAAGAAAAAAGAATAAACATGAACACCTGAAAGACACTGGACATTGAGTGGGAGGCTGGAGCTAGTAGCCCAAGGCAAAAACTTTGTGCTGACATTTCCCTTTTTTTTTCTAGTACTGATGTTTGAATCTTGATTTTTACTGAGTGTACCACATGAGAGAGAAGTCTTCAGACATTCTGCCCATTTATTCTATGGTCACTTAGTGAAAGATTTCTGTGACATGGGTACTGTTCTATAGCTAGATTTGTATAGGCTGTGTACAAACCACAACTAAAAAGATACTCATTTATTTCACCTACAATTAATTAAAGACAATTTGTACTACATTCTGTAGTATAGAGATAAATAATGAATGCTTTTAAATTCAGGGAGCTTGTATTATAGCCAGGAATTAAATCCCTCTAGTAATTAGTGAACTAAACAAATATTTAATTGTATCCACCAAGTGGCAGGCATTAAAGACTGATGGAAGGAGAGAGCAATGTCCAGTCTTACAGGAGACTTTTCCTCATGAGCCCTCAGGGTCTAGAGAAGATACAGAAGCACATGAGCAAATCCATGTACAGTATCAGGTGTACAGAGAAAAACAGAGCGATATGAGCAATCTGGGAGAGCAGTCAGGAAAGAGCTACTTTAGTGTGACGAGGGATGCCTCTGTAGGTGATTTCAGCAACAGGAGCCTGATAAAGGATTTAAACCAAGTCCTTCATCATCAAAAAAATTTCACTTTCAAAAAAATTTCTTTAGAGGCTACAGTAATGTGGGTTGGAAAGGTGTTCAAAACAGAAGAAGAAAGATAGGATAAGATGGAACCAGTGAGACTAGAAAGATCTTGCCTGGCCTGAGAGAATGGTATAAGGGAGAAACGAACTTGAGACACATTTTACAAGCAGGACCAATCGAATCTGATGGAGGATAGAATACAAATTAATATATGCACTAAAGTACTGTATGCATTAGTACATTCATGACCAAAGTGAAAAGCATAGGGATCCCTCACAGAGTGTGCACAGTGCTGGAAAAGCCTTGATAGAAGGCAGTATCTCTGGATTGAGTTTGTGTACCCAGGCAGTGAGAGGCTGGGCATTTGTGCAGCGTACTAGCATGACAGAAGACAGCAAAGGGAGGTTGCATGCGAGAGGACAAGAGCAAATGTGCTGAGAGGCCCAGGAGGACACGTGGGTTGTTGTATTGGTCAGGCTTCTTTACATAAACAGAACTGGTAGGATGGCTATTATTAAACAGCATATTTATTAGATTGGATTGCACAACATTATCTGAGTAGTCCAACAATGGCTGTCAAGCCCTGGAGAGGCTGAGAACCTGGCAGCTGCTGAGTTGAGGAGACTGGATGCCTGGGTAGTCCAAGTTTGGTGCTGAAGGCCTGGAAGATTCTTGGAGAGCTGCTGCTCTCCAGTCCACCTTGGATGGCCTAGGAAGCTGGGTTCAGGTGTCCATGAAGAACAGTGGCAGCCATGACAACAGCAGCAACATGCTAGATTAAGTCCACAGTGAGACAGGAAGTGAAACCCAAAGGCAAGCAAACCAAAAGGGAAAGTATTTTCCCTTGGACTTCTTTATATGGATGGTAACAGATGGTGTTGCTCACATTTAGGGTATGTCTTCCCACTTAAAACAACCAGGAAAAGCGAATCCTTTATAGAAGAGGCACAGATTCTCTTTCAGTTGATTCCAGATCTAGGAAGTCAACAACCAAGATTAGCCATCAGCTACTCAGTGTGATGCTGAAAAGTTCAGAGATTGCCCTGTAGGAGGAAGCACACCACTTGGGAGAAGACAACATCATAACAGTGTGGAGAAAGATCCGTGCATTTTCCTATTGGTAAAAATAGTCACCAAACCCATCACCTAGTTGTAATACAACAGTTTTGAATAATATTACCTTGAATATATCATTTTAGAATTAATATATATGTATATACACATTTTAAGTTTTCAAAATCATTAATGATTTCTAAACATACTGTTTTCGAATGGATAACATTAGCTTTAACAAGAATGTAAACTTCATTATTTGTGGCAAGCAATACAATGTAAGAACATAGATCCTTATATACATGAAAATATATCCCTTTCATGTTACTCTTAAATGCTCATCTATCAAACCAGATGCTGATTAAATTTTAAGGATGCTTAACGCGTTCTTCATTTCATTTTATCTTATGACCTGTATGTATGAATATAATAGAAATAATCATAGTTTTCTGTAATTTTTATGTAACAAATCTCTGATTTGTCCTATGGATTATTATTTTGTTATTGTTCAGATTTTTTTATATATAAATGGTAAGTTTAAATCTGTTTGCACAGGGTAAAGGTCTTTCAGTGGAGAATTTTGAGAGCAATTGTAAGAGAAAATGGCATTATAGCGTAAGTTGTCTTGAGACCATAA